GAGATATGATGTGGCTACAAGGGGTGCCTCAAATCATTGGTATACCTTGTGCTTAGCTCGACATGGATTATTTTTATTTATTTTTTTTAAGGCAATGTAATGAAATGATCATATGCAAGGAATTAAATGCTCATTTTATTAAGGGAAAAAGGAAAAATCTACAAAATTAATCTAAAGGAAAAGAAAAGGTGCCTATGCTAGACTTATTGGGGAAAGAAAAGATGAAAAAGAAATAGAAAAAAGAGGCCATGAAATTTTGTCGTTGAAGCTCGCCTCTTATCTTGTGTTGTTTGCTTTATCATCACTCGCTCTTCTTGTTAACTGGAGGCATAGGAAGCTTGTTATTATCAAATAAATGTTGCATAGCCTCCTTTAGCTTCCAACAGCTCTCAGTAGTATGACCCCTACCTTGATGATACTTGCAGTGTTCGTCTGGATTCCAACTAGGCAATCTATTTTCAGGTACGGGATCTTGAATAGGTCCAATGGGAGTAATGAGTCCTTTGGCATGGAGTCGATCGAAGGCAGTATCGTAGCTCATCCCAATGGGGGTGAAGTTTTTCCTAAGTTGCTTCTTAGATCCTTGGTTATCTATGGCTAAAACTTTACTGAGATCAAAGGTACTAACATTGTTACTAGAGTGGGCGTTTTCGGAAGAATAAGGATTGTCGTTCTTCTTTCCTTTCCATCCACCGTGATTACTATTGTTAGTAGATTTTTGCTTTGCAAGGTCATCTTCGATTTCAATTCCGATGTCATAAACGACCTTGAAAGTATTCAAATTGTGTTGATATTTTAGGTGCTTCGAATACTTTTCTTGGAGATTCTTGATAAACATCCTCACAGATTCCTTTTCGGTGGGGACTTCAATCATCTTAGCGAAAGTTTCCCTCCACTTATTAAAGAAAAAAGTAAAGCCTTCATTTTATTTTTGTCTTAACATCTTAAGTTGTCTATGATCGGTTTCAACTTGAATATTGCACTTGTACCTATCAATGAAAGCGTTTGCTATCGATTCCCAGGTAGAGGTTTTCTCCTTGCCAAGGGAGAAGAACCATTGTTGGCAAACGGTTTCAAGAGATACTGAGAAAAGAGAGGGGAAAACCTTCTTATCGATACCCTTAATGGTCATTATAGTTTCAAAAGCTCTTAGATGGAAGTAAGGGTTATCTGTTGCCTTGAATTTAGGGATGTCAGTGGCGTTGAATTTATGCGGAAGAAGTTCCTTGTCCAGCGAGACCCCTTGTGAACTCATGCCCTGAAATTTGTAGTCACTAAATAGCTTGCTCAAGCTTTCTTGCATGAGGTCCATCCGTTGTTGCTTCACGGGATCATCAACTTTGAGGGTGAGTAGTTTCAGTGTTTCAGTCATGGTAACCAATTGGTTCCTAAGCTCATTGACTTCTTCTTGAGTTTCCATTATATTCTTAGCCTTCCTCTTTTGACGAATTGGTTTATCAAAAAGCGAGACTTGAATAAAGAGGATGTCCTTGATTAATCGCCCTTCTCTCCTCGACCAAGTACTGTGGAAAAGGAATTTGGGGATACTTATTGTTAATTATTTGACTCAAACTTTATTCAACATGCAATGGATGGAGGAGGTGAAGAAAAATGGAAGAATGTGAAGAAAGATTTAGATGGAGGGATATGAAGAATTAGGAATAGAATGTACCCCCCAACTCAAATGACGGAAAAGACCGACTCATGCATGAACCTAAGACATGGCCATGGTGACATGTGCTCAAAGTGTGTGCTAATACTAGTGAGTGTAGATGGTACTTTAAGACTTGTGTCATGACCATGTGGCTAGACTATGTGCCTAGACTCAAGCAAAGACTAAGTTAAGACTTCACGTATATGCATTAAACTGGACAGATTGTGGTATTTTAGTCATAACTTTTTATCTGCGACTCTGATTGGGATGAAACCAACGCCGAATTAAAGATAAAACTCGGGGCTACAGATCCATAGGCTGTAATACTCGTAGTTCTTTCTAGAACTCCAGATATTACCAAAACAAGTTGACATTTGTGCAGTATACGGGAATAAAAATCCGGGTTGACTTAAAAGAACTATGACTCGATTTTATGTTTATTTATTAGCTCAAATTAATTAATTAATTAATTAAACAAAGTCCTTTAGTCATTAATCAGTTTATTTAGTCTTAACACAAGTCAAACAAACGGTTAATAAAAACATAGAATATATATGCACAACAAATAATGCACAATTAGTCAAGTAGGCACAACATGATGCAATGAGTTCGCAACCTAACCATGGTTCTAGTTCTCTAAAGTTCGGGATATGGATTAGTCAAATAGGGTCCATGGTTAATTGTCCAGATGCACCGCGTAGAAGCCTAACCGTGAAGGGTTAACGCGTGTGGATAGAACACCGCGAGTTTTTTATTTAGAAAAAACTCGCTTCCATGGTTTGGTGAATTCAACCTCTCAGATGTACCATTTGTTGCCAGGAGCGTTCAATCGGGTAGATAGAGCATGAATTCCCAGAGGGTTATGTCCATATGTAGAACACATATGGGTTTCAGAAAAGTGAGAAAAAATTCGATCAGGAAGTAGGATCGAGCAAACAATACGAAAAAACCGGTCGAAATTAGAACGCATATTTCTGGCTCGGTATTGGGGGAAATTGGCGCCAGCAAACAGAGACTGGCGCCAACTTTTAACTGTAGCGCCTGGCGCCAATACTGGCGTCTGGCGCTACGGCTAAAAGTTTGGCGCCAAGCTCTGGCCCCTGACGCTACTTCCCACATGCCTCAGCAGCTTTCTGTGCTCAATAAAATCATCCTGTTTCGCGCGGTGTTATTTCAGTCCTAGTTGTGAAAGACATTTCTCAAATTTCCTACGTGTAAAATCCTATGTTTTTTACTCATTACGGATGGTCTTTCCAATGAGAACCTTTTTATGCATATGACAATAATGTTAATCAAAATTACGCACATGAAATACTTAGAACTTTTCGAGTCTCATCCACTCATTCTAAATCATTGCCGAAACAAATTCAAGAATTAAAATAGAAATCCTCCCCAGTGGAGTCGCCAAAAACTGTAGGGAATAATTTCTAGCCTTTAAAATCACACTAGCTTGAACCCCACTGTGATCATACACTAAAGTACGGTGGCGTCCAAAAGGGAAGAAGATAGAGCAAAAGAGTCGCCAACAAGTTTTTAAGGAACTTGTAAACCGTTCATAGGATGAAGGTTACACCTCTTAACGATCCAAGAGATCGTCAACTCCATAAGGTCATGAACCAAATAAGGGTTCGGGGATGATGGTACAAATCCAACCTAAAAGAGATTGAACCTACCCTAATAATAGGCCTCTACTTTATTCTGCTCGTATTCATGTGCGCTTTCTGACTAACATACAATCAATAGATTAACCCTAAACCTGTTTAATCTATGTTGGTTGAATTTTAATGCACAAATAAACTATTATTGGCGATCACTTGAATTATAATCACAATTAACCTAACAAGATTATTAAATTATCTTATTAAGCGTGATTGCAAATACCAATTCCCTTTAACATGCAATAAAAGGTGATCAAACAATAACAATAATAATATGCATATCAAGCAACATAATAATAATCATCATCATTAATAATCATAAATATTAGGAAGAGGATAGGAAGCATCATACTTTTAATCATACTTAATATTAAAGATACCCTAAACATGATACTAGGAATCATCAAAAGAACAATCTAAGCATGATATCTACATCATGAAAACCATCAAAGTACTTACTTGGATGCCTCGTACCTCTTTCTAATTACAAAATACACGCGTTAGTAACTTCAAGGAAAAATAATAAACAAACAATTAAATTAAATAATTGAAAGAGAGATTTGGGACCAAACCCTCATAAATTAAAACCTTTCACGTCTAGGGCGAAGGCAATTTCGAATATGGCTAGGTATTTCAAGATCTTGTGAATGCGGAATTTTGTGTGAAAAAGCAAAGAAGAAAAGAATACTAAAGAATTAATATTATTGAGAATTGATGAATGAATGATGAAGATGAAGAGAGTTGATGAATAATTTTGTGAATGAAGAGAGTTGATTATTGGTAATTGATAAAGTGATTGTTGATGAATGAAACCGGAGTTTTTGATACGATATTTATAAAGAAAATCATCCAAAAAAGATAATTTATCAAAACAGTCTGAAGACCACAAAACTAGCTTGGCGCCAGGACCAGTGGCTAGCGCCAGGCGCCAATGACTGGCGTCTGGCGCCAATCCTGATTCCAGGCGCCAAGGCCTGGGGTTGGACGCCAATTTGGATTTCAACGCGTTTTCGAAAATGTGATAAATTTCCCGCACTGGAAGATAAAATAATATAATTTCAGTCGAAAATGCTATTTGATCTTGATTAAAACTCTAAAGAATCCTAATTGAATTAAGAATGATAAGATCTTCTGAAGATTCTAGAAGACTAAAACCATTCCTAATTACATTAGGAATGATAAATCATATTAGGTCTTCCCCTAGATCATTGGGCCGTACTTAAAGCTCAAACCGGGCCTAATTTAGTAAATTGGCCATAAATTTCTCAATATTCATCGAAATTGGGCTTATAATATATCGTTGGAAAGGTCTTTGCAAACCCCATCCAACTACACCACTATTGGACCCATATCATGGACCAACAAAACTGGATTGACTGTTTTCTTAAAAATAAAGTTTTCAAAAACAGGGAGAAAAGAAAAGAAATAAAACTTTCCGCAACACTAGACCTTTCCACACTTTCGTTTCATTCGATTATGATTCGACGTGAAAGGCACTCATCACTGGGTTTGGTTTTGGAGAGACACAAATGGGTGTCTACAGTAACGGACATTTCAAGTACCCGTTACAAATAACCCCGTTATTTGTAACGGACATGATATCTGCCCGTTACAAATAGTGTGTAACACAATTTTAAAAAAAAATCCAGCACATGTTGCTGTGCTGGATTAGCTATCTTGCATAAATATTATAGCACAATTATTTTATTAATTAATTGAGATAAAAATATACTTCATATTTATACAATGAGCAAAAAAAAACATTTATTATTGCCTAAATAGTTAAAACTAAAAACCTTCTGCTACATTGATTCTTTTTAGTCCAAAGCTATTTAACTTTTCAATTATCTTCTTAGTCCAAACCTTCTGCTTCATTGATTCTTCTTAGGCCAAAGCTATTGCTGCATCAGCTCAATCTCTTGCTGAAGGCCCCGTACTTGATCTGCAACATCGAATAATATATTGGCCTCTTGAATCAATATAGAGCCAATCCACTGGACAGCTGATACAACAATGGATTCTGCCATGGTTGTGATCTTTCCTTGGTGTTTACCTTAGTTTTCCTGTTGATTTCACATAAATGAATCAATATTAAAGATAGTCAATTCTAACTTACAACAAACACACGCATTACAGGGAAAAGAGAATTATGAGGTGCCTGACAGATCCTACTATAGCAATGAACCTTTTATTTAGGTGAAATTCTTAGATCTTTTCACAATTGAGGAAAGCTTATTCTTCAAATAACCAGAAAGATACATCAATGAAAGTAAATAATACTTATGTAACCAGAAAGATACAAATGCAATATATCTTACACTTTGGTAATTCAGGGGTTGTCCTATTTTATGGGTTTTAGGGTTTATCGTCCATGAATTTATTTGCTTCCGCTAGCACTCATAACCGTTACATACTCAATGCAACAATGACAATAATTTATTCATATATATGATCACAGTTTTTCAATATACTAGCTAATGCAGTAATTCATATGACACAATGCAACAGACAGCAGATAGCACTTTATTCAAAACTTCCAACACACAGCAGATAGCACTTTATCTTCCACAGGTTTTTTATCACTAGGCCTAATCCTTGCAGTACTGGCAGACATGAACAAATTATTTCACACTAAAACTAAAACTAAAAACTAAAATGTCAAAAAAAAAAGTAAAACCTTAAATCATGAAACTCTTAAACCTTAAAGTCAAATCAGTAATCAGGTAATGCATTATAATCAATTAATGAATCAAGATCACAAAATTCAGATTCCAGGAAATTCTTAAACTTCAAATCATGTTCATCAGCTAAACACATCAAATACTTAAAACTCTGTTATAAATCTTTAATCATATATCATTTTATCCAATTTTTCAATTCAACAATCCAATAACTTTGATGTACAAGGATTCATATAAAAATGAAGCAATCAATCCACAAAACATGAACAAAAAAAAAGCATAAAAATCGTAAAACAATCTAAAATCCAAATAATCAAACATCAAAATTAAACATGAAAAAATTCATCAATTAATCTACTTCATCAGATCTGAACCAAAAACCAATCAAATTACAGAACAAAATCAATTGCAAAAAACAGTCAAACCAAAATCAATTTGAGGTTATTTTAGTGGCTTCAACTTTACAAAATTAAATTAGCTTTTAGGTTGCACATATGAGGTGTTGAGAGAGAGAGAGACCTATGCACACAATGTATAACTGATTTTTACTTATATAAATCCCCCCTCCCCAAACAGAGCCTAACTCACTCAATAAGCATTTTCTCTAGTAAAGCCAAAATGCATACCTGTAGCTCCCAAGGGATGTCCAAGGGCTATTACTCCCCCATTAACATTAACTTTCGCTGGATCGAGGTTCATCTTTTTACAACGGTAAACATACTGAGATGCAAAGGCCTGCATTGAAAATGGATGTTACAAATTTGAGAAATGGTGTTGAAGTCACCAACTGAAAATATGAGGCAGCTTGTTCAGAGTGCTAACCTCATTTATCTCAAATAGATTGATATCGTTAAGCTTTAAATCTTGGCCCGAGTTAAACATGTATGACAGATGCTCCACAGCTTTTGATCCACTAACAACAATGCTTTGCACCTGTCAAAAGATGTTTTCTATTTGAGTATCTGTTACTGAAGGAAACTGTAAAATTTGAGATTGCAAGTGAATTTGCATACACCGAGTACTCAATAATAAACTCACTATGAAAGAAGAACTAACTGTCAATTTGATATCTGACCAATTACTAGTCACAAATCAGATATATGACAAAACCAAATTGGTAAAATTGGTCCAATTCCAAACCAAACCAATTCAATTGGGACTGATATATACCTTTTTACATTAAATCATGAAAATCTTCATGATTTGTATCTACTCATATTACTTGATCAGCCCACAAATAATCCTCTGATTAGGCTTGGACATACATATTAAAAAATAGATTGATATCGTTAAGCTTTAGCTCGACATATTTCACTGCAGCAGGAATGGCAAAAGCTGGGCCAAACCCCATAACAGAAGGATCCACACCAACAGCAGCAAAGCTCCTAAAACACAGGATTAATAGTAGCAATTCAACCTTACAAATAAACTACAGTATTTCTCAAACAACAAACTCACAAAATCAAACAAGTGCGGAAAATTTAAGATTAAAATACACAATTGAAACCGAAATTCATTTCCAACACTATTACTTCCTCTAAATCAACATGCAAACAAAAAACATCAAACACAGAAAACATAATTCAATTATGAAAGTCGTAAAAATGGAAATTCAAACGCAAACAAGATCTAAAATCATAGCAGAAAATGCAGAATCAATAGAAAAGAGAAAACACATACAAAGATCCACGATTATAGAGGTCGATAGAAACGGAGATACGTTCGACGCCATTGCTGAGCTTTGTAAGGGTAGCCTTCTTGTGAGCTACAATAAAAGCTGATTCCGAATCCCCCATTGCTGAGATTGAACATGAAACAAGAATCATAGCGAAAATTACAAACCCTAATTGATTTATTGAAGCCGCCATTATTGAATTCTCTTAAGTTGCAGATTGAGAATTGAAAGGGGAGAATTTTCGAAATGTGAAGAACGAAAGAGAAGCGGAAAAATTCCCAAAACTAAGTCATTTAAATCGATTTTCCAAGAAATAAAAACAAAATTCCCAAATATAATTTTAAAATCCAGAAAAATCATAGAACTTGAAAAAAAAAGGGTAACAAGTAGCAAAAAATTAAAAGAAATAAGATCTAAGAACCTTGTAAGCGGTGGTTTCCAACGATCTAACCTTTGATTTCTCCGTTGCCGTTAGTGACTTCTTCCTCTTTTTCGCCTCTTATTTCACTTCCTCCTCTTGGTTTTCAACAATAAACTAGCAAAAATCATTCAAATAAAAATCAGATTATAATCTAATTATAAAACCCAAAAATTCTACCAATTTGAATCTAATTGCTACAGATCTAGTAGCAAAAACAAAACATAAATTTAAAAAAAAATGCATAATCAAGAGGAAAGAGAATATGGAGGTAAGAAGAGGTGGTAAAGAGAGTAAATGAGAATGAATCTTGAGGAGAGAGAAAGACATTGAGTTCTAAAGAGGAGAGAGAAAGGTAGTGAGTGAGTGAAAGAGAAAGTTAGAGGATGATTTCTGAGGAGAGAGAAAGAGAGGGGAGTGACGGCTGAGGAGATGTGTGAAACCCTAAGTAACTAATGGGCTCATCTCACCAACGCCTGGACCAATCATTCGTAACGGGCCCATGATGTCCGTTATAAATAGTATACTATTCGTAACGTGCGGTATTTTGTCCGTTACAAATATAATAGTATTCGTAACAGACATTATTTTGCCCGTTACGAATACTATTTATTCGTAACGGACACTATTTTGCCCGTTACGAATAAATAAGTATTCGTAACGGACACTATTTTTCCCGTTACGAATATCTTAATTGTAACGGGCAAAGCTTTGCCCGTTACAAATAGCCTGTTACGAATGAGATTTTTTCCACTAGTGCTGCCACATAGCACGCTGCCACTTGGTGGCTGCCAACGTTGTTGCTGCCAATTGGTGACTGCCAACGTGGTTGCTGCCACATGGCGTGCTGTCACGTGGCATGCTCCTATTTGGCGTGCTTCCTTTGTTTTTGCGTGGCTAGGGTTTTTGCTTGTTACTTGAAGCATTTTCCCGTCTCGCCAATTTCTAAATTTGGCTCGACATTTGAGATTCTCTGACGCTCGAAGCTCGAATTTCCAACGTCTAAATAAATATTACTCTGTCGACTTATTAATTCCTTCCGAATGAATTCGTCGCTTCGGTCCGTTGACTGCTTGGGTGTGACCCGAAAGGTTCAGTCAAGGTTAAGTTGTAATATTAATTATGCATTAATATTACTGATCGAAAGCGGCCTCCATCTAGGCATTCTGATCACTTGACCTTACTGAATATATTAGCTTTCTAATAATTCTGAACCCACTATCAGAATAATACACTTGTTCGAAGGACAGTACTCCTTTCACCTGCCACTCCATTAGGCCCAATAATGGGCTTCTTTCTTTTGTTCAATCCAACACCCTTTTGTGTGACCTTATAGGATCCATTCTATTGAGATTTGGACTATTTGACTAGCCCAAAGATCATTAATCACGTCTAGCAACAGACAACGACAAAAGAACGAACTTAATTATCTCCATAATTTGATTCATTATATATCTAGTAATTGCACTTGATGAAGACATAAATCCTTCAACATAATGGTAACTCGCTACCATGGTTTTGTATGGAAGATTTTAACTGTATCTTGAGTCACAAAGAAAAGCTTGGAGGAAATATTACTAGCCAGAGAACAATTGATGGATTCAATAAAAGTCTTAATAGATGCAGGTTGAGGGACATCCACTTAGAGGGCTATTTATTTACCTAGTCAAACAATAGGGAAGGCGAAAACAACATTCAAGAATGATTGGACCGAGCTCTAGTGTCTGATCAATGGTTTAATTTATTTCCATGCTCAAAGGTGGAGCACCTTCCAAGAAGGAAATCTGACCATGTGCCTATAAAAATCACTATCCACGCGCAAATTATCGTGAGTAACAGGAAAAAAAGAAGAAGTAGAGGTTTCCAATTTGAAAAAAAATGGCTCAAGGATGATGAATGTGGCAATATCGTGACTAATTCGTGGAGCTTAGAGTCTGACTTTGATGTTATTCGAAAAATCAGCAATTGCGCTAGTAGGCTGCGCTTTTAGAGGAAGCTCTCGTGCTTGCAATTTCTCAGATGAATTGGCAGAAAGAAAAGATCAAATGAAGGATTTAATGGCCTCTCCCCCTTCAAGTGAAACAGTGAAGGAGATGAGCGATATTGATGAAATAGATGAATTGGAACGTCGTGAAGAAGAAAATTAGGCATAAAGAAGCAGACAATCTTGGCTTTGAGATGGCGATAAAAACACAGCTTTTTCCACAATAAAGCTAAATAATGCCGTAGTCAAAACACCACTTAGGGGGTCATGTATGAAGATGGTACATGGTATAAAGATGAACAGGAGGCAGAGGTAATTTTTCTAGATTGTTATAAAACTCTTTTTACTTCGAACGGAGAAAGAGAGATGGAGCATGTACTTGAGAAAGTAGATGGCAGGGTAATTCATAAGATGAATGTCAACCTCTCCACAAATTTAACAGGTGAAGAAGTTCATATAGCATTGAAGCAAATGCATCCAACTAAGTCTTTGGGACCTCATGGAATGTCAGCTATCTTCTACAAGAAGTATTGGCAAATTGTTGGAGGCGATGTTATCTCCTATGCACTGGACATTCTGAATAATGGAGCTTCAGTTTGTGATATAAATCATACCTATGTTGTTTTGATACCGAAGAAAAAGGAGTGCAAAACAACCCGAGACTGCCGGCCTTTAAACCTTTGAAATGTGGTGTATAAACTTGTCTCGATGGATATTTTGAGTCGCCTTAAACCTGTGCTTCCAAATGTAATTAGTGAGTCACAAAGGGCTTTTGTCCCAGGAAGGCTTATTACGGATAATGTGCTTGTGGCTTACGAGTTTTTCACTATTTGAAGAAGAAAAAGACGGGTGCTAAAGGTTACATGGCTCTTAAACTTGACATGAGCAAAGCTTACGATTGTGTTGAGGGGTCTTTCATAGAGGGAATGATGCTTAAATTGGGTTTCAATGCAAGTTTTGTTGAGCTAGTCATGAGATGTATGTCTTCGGTTCAGTATTTTATCCTGTTCAATGGCTTCCCTTCTATGAGTTTTCCCCTAGAGGGATCCGTCAAGGAGTCCCTATCTCTCTCTTTCTGTTTTAATTTTTGTCAAGGGGATGTCGACTTTGCTTAGTGATGCGGAAAAGAAGAAGGTTATCCACAGAGTCAAAATGAGCAGGAATGTTTCTCCCATATCCCACCTATTCTTCTCAGATGATAGCTTGCTCTTCACTAGAGCAAGTGATGAGGAAGCAAAGGTTGTATTAGAGATCCTAACCTCTTATGAAATTGCATCGGGTCAAAAAATAAATTTGGAAAAATCAAAAGTCTCGTTTAGCCGGAATGTGAGTGCTAATTTGCAGAATAATCTTCAATTGAAGATGAATTTCATGGCTGTTACTGAGCACGAAAGATATCTTGGGTTACCAACTGCTAGCGAAATTTATTCGTAACTGGCGAAATTGACTTTTTGTAACTGGCATTGTTGGTTGCAAATGCCACCGTTACAACTAGTGAAATTTATTCGTAACTGGCTAATGATAGTTACAAATAATGTACTATTTGTAATTGGCTTAAACTAACGCCAGTTACAAAAAGTCTTTTTTCCATGTTAGAAAGCATACTATTCGTAACTAACATTTAAGTTGCGCCAGTTACAATTAGGGTATTATTAGTAATTGGCAAATCTTAACGCCGGTTACGAATATATTTTTTTCATTTTTAAAAAAAAATAATATTAGTAACTAGCATTAGATTACGCCAGTTACTAATAAATAAATAAATATTTTTTTTATAAATATTTGATTCGAATACAAGAATGGTAGTATATCCTACCAAACGATCTGTTGTCAAATGGGTTACAATCTCTTACAATTCAACCAACAAAACACGTACTCCGAATACTTCTATATAATTTAAATTTGATCACCCACAACATACAATACTAACACTTCAAATAATTCCACACAACTTGAATTCATCCACAACTATACAATACAACAAAATTAACAATACTTTGAAAAAAACAATAAAACTTGAATAAAAAAAAAAATCATTGATTTATAATTTAGCAATGTAATAACAATAACCAATAAGCTAAATAAAAATTGATGTATAGAAATGTGTTATATTGTTTTATTGAGCTGTAAATGCGATTAATCATAACATCGATTAACAAGGTAGTTAGTCTTTCAACAAAAAATTAAGTCTAAAAAACTTAGCCCATTGTTTTCTAATCTCATCCAATTCTACATCTGCAAATCTTGCCAAATATTCATGCAAATATAAAAACAATACATGTCTATTATACTTTATAAAATAAAACATCAACCAAAACTCGTATAAAGCATTTTAGCTTGTAAAGAAGAGGTAAATTCATAACTAACCTCTTTCAAATAATTCTTGCAATCGCTATGGGAATATACTATCTCATACATATATCCCATTACATAATAAGCAAATTCGGTACCACCATATTGTTGAGCACACTAATTCTAATTATCATAGTACAATAATTTAATTAATTAAAGGAAATTTCGACTTTTACCACCAAAAAAATTCAAAAAATTGTTTTTTACCACCAAAACTTATAAAACTTACATTTTACCACCAAAAAAATTTCTAAAAATTGTTTTTTACCACCAAACATCAAGAAAACCGTTACATCTAACGGTTTAAAAAAAATTCCTTCGAATTTTGTGCGCAAAAGATGTTTTTCATAAGTTTAGGGGGGCACTTTGGCCCTACGGGTCCAATTTGAGGTCAAAATTGTCAAAAAATGATTGAAAATGCCCTGTTTTGTGTGTTCACGCAAATCGAGGTTTTTTAAACACGCAAAACGAGGCATTTTTGATCATTTTTTGTTAATTCTGACCTCAAATTGGATCCATAGGGATAAAGTGCCCCCTAAGACCCCTAAAGAGCCTGTGTTTGACACGAAAATCGAAGATTTTAGAAAATTCCGTTAGGTTTTTGACGACAGGTGGTAAAAAACAACTTTTAGTTTTTTATTTGGTGGTAGAATAAAAATTTTAGAAGTTTTGGTGGTAAAAAACATTTTTTTGTGGTAAAAGTCAAAAAATCCTTAACTAAATAGTACTTTTATTACTAAAAGAATGAAAAAGCAAGAATTAGACGCTTACCTTCATTCTTATGTACGTGTAGTAATTGTGGCTTACTCATTTTGAAAGCATTTGCTTTGAGGTGTAACCTATATACTTTGTAAGGTCTAAAAAAATCATAAAAAGCATCAGATTAAACGAATGAAAATAACTTTTAATTACATGTATATGAGTACGTAGTCTATTTAACTAGGAATGTTGAGTACTATAGTAATTATTTGAATATATAGATTATTGGTCAATATGCCACAAGGCCTACTTCTTAGTAACTCATGGAAAGAAGATGAAAACTATCCAACTGTTAAGTAGGGTCTTATTGTCAAGTTATGTCATATCCATAGTTATGAGAGGTAGGGACAATGTGACTACTAATTCCGAATTCCGAACAGAGGGATTATATCATGAGCTATAAGAATCAAATAGTTGACATGAGTTAAAAAATAGTCACTTTTAAAAAATAGTCACTTAGTTATAAAGAGATGAGTTAAATCCTTCCCTTATTTATTAATCTCCTTTACACCCTTTCTAAAGAAAATAACTACTTTGTCTAACAAAGAGATTAGTTTAAAACAAAAGATGTTACCTTGCGGATACGTTCATAATCATAGAGTCGTGCATAGGCACTTGCTCCAGCAACAATCAATTTGGGTCTGAATAATGTGTAACTTTTCTCTATCTGCAATGGAGTTCCTAATCAAATGAGCTTAATAACAGCCATATTAATTAATTAAGCTGCATGCTTTTAGATTAAGGTATTAGTTGGTAAAAATAAGTAATTAACACAACAGGTCAACAACAAATAATTGCTTGAATCAAGCTTATACAAGTCAAAGGTGCAAATATAATAAATTACAAATTTACTTGTCTTAACAGAAATGTCAATTGAAAGCAACAAAAACTATGCATTTCTTTAATGCTTAGTAGTTTAGATTGAGCATCCACTCATCCAAAGGATGAACTTTCTAAAACCATATATTACATTGAAATTGAATGAGCAAGTTGACTTTTTATTTAAAAAAAAAAATAACCATAGAAGGTCAAATAGGGGTATTCGGTTCTCAGTTCTAGAAAATAGGTGCATGGTTGCTCAATTTGAAGCTACTTTTGAAAAAAAAGCTAATTATGCTTAAAAGAAAGGGAAAAAATCCTAATTTTGGTAAGAAACCTTAGATATATATATTATTTTTTTCAATATATATAAACAGTGCTTTCATCCAATCAGTACGCCATTGTCTCAAAAAATATAGACACGGCAGATATCTTCTTGGTGTCTGTTTGCAACATAATAATAGAAGTTACAAGCTTAATTACCAAAAAATTGCTTAGCAAATAATTAATTAACTGACAGGATGCATGCCACAAAGTGTTCACACATGTCATTTAACACAACATTCCAATATTAAAAAATTATAAAATTGGCAGAATTTACCACTGATCAAATTAAATGACAACTATTTATGTCCTTCTAATTTTTATTTTCTTTTTAACACAAGGCTTAGATATTATAAAAATTGTGTATGCACTTGTATTAGTATCACTTGGGGATTAAAATCGAGCTAACTCAAAGCTTCAATCTAATTGTCAAAAAGAAAATAATTGTCAATCATATTGTAATTTTCTTTTTAACACAAGGCTTAGATATCTAAGAAGTTAGCTCGATTAGATCAAATAGCTAACTCAAAGCTTATTCAATCTAATTGTCAATTATTAATATTTTTCTATTCTTGTTTTAATTGTAGAAAATGTTTTTTTTTTCAATAACAATGCTTTAATAAAAGAAATTAGAGCATGTTCTTTTCCCCAATTGCTAACTTATCTGAATTACTAGGATGTAGATGAGCTTTTCTAAGCTTATAAGAACTATTGAAGTCATGATTTGAACTTGGGAAATCCTTAGCTAATAGGAACTTAATCAACTTATCTAAACATATGTATACTTATTTTTCTTGAAACTTAATATTTGAGATGAAAAGGAATTGCCTAAAACACTCAAAAAAAATTTAAACTTGTGTATCAGTTAGCAGGTTGATCCTTACATCTAATATCCTGATTCACAAGTTATGAAATAAATCAGTAAAACCAATCAATACCCCCCCCCCCCCAAAAAAAAAAAAAAAAAAAAAAAAGGCAACGCCGTACAACAATCATATATTAGAAGAATAGCCTATGTCGTAGATAGGTATACGCAATGTTCTACGCAAAAAGATATTAACTATCTAATAATCAACAATGCCATGAAACAAGACCTGGTATCCATGTGAAAGATGTCCACTATGGAAGATCAAGAGCCATGATTCTATCGTGAGGCTTCAAAAGAGCAATATAAATTAACATATCCATACATGTAAAAAAGCTTCCATGGGTATAGTAATAAGCAAAACCCAGATAATTTGACTCAGAAATCAATAAATTACTCTTAATTACAAAGTACTATCAATTGATAGTAAAAATGCCATCAGAAGAAACCCCATTTTCACACTATCGGCAGTAAAACCACCAATTGTTATTTATTTTATAATTAATTTCAATTATTATTGTTTATAATAATCTTGTAATTTGAAAAAAAAAAAAAAAAAAAAAAAAGAACAATCAAAGTGTTGGCAACAACAAATCCATCGAAAATCAGTACATACTTCTGCTAATCCAAAAACCTAATTCAAATAATCCACAAAACTCAATTATACTGCATACCCATCAAAACCCCCAATAATAAGCAAGAAACCATTGTTATATAATATATAATAGAACCCTAATTTGAAAAATTACATACCTTAAAACCTTGATATGGAACCACTAAAGCTGAACCCATATTCAAAAATTTCAAACGGAATGGAGTGAGTTGGAGGGATGGAGAAACTGTAAGAGGAAGGAGCACGGAGGAGTTTTTCACAAGAAAGCTAAGCGTGAGGACTATGATCTAAAGTGAAAACCAAAGGAAAAAAAGTTTTAAGTCTTTTGTTTGTATTTCAATGAGAAATTGATTCCTTACTTTAAAAAAAATTAAAAATAAATTATTTTCTTAATATTTGTAACTGACGTTTGTAAGCTAGTTACAAAGTATTTAGTCAAAGTTTCTTTGACTTAATACTTGTAACTGGCGTTCGTAAGCTAGTTACAAACTTTTTAGTTAAAGTTTTTTTTAACTTAATATTTGTAACTGACATTTATCTAGTAAATTACTAATAAAACTTCAAACAATGATAAAGCACATATTAGTAACTGACATTTACTACGCCGGTTACTAATGTCATGAAATTTGTAACTGACATTATCTTAGTCGGTTACTATTGATGCTTTCGTAACTAGCATAACATACGTCAGTTACTAATTCGGCGTTACAAATAGCATTTTTTCTACTAGTGGCTATTGGTAGGTCTAAGAATGTTGTTTTCCAATTTATTCAAGATCGGGTATGGAAAAACATTAAGGGGTGGAAAGAAAGATACTTGTCAAAGGCTGGCAAAGAGGTGTTTTAAAAATAGTAGTGCAAGAAATCCCGTCTTACGCAATGCAATGTTCTAAGCTCCCGGAAAGTGTGATCAATAATATGAACTCTCTTTGTAGGAATTTCTAGTGGGGTCAAAAGAACAATGAAAGGAAACTCGCTTTGATCATTTGGAGTAATCTGAATATAAACCAAAAGATAGGGGAGGTGTCAGTATGCGTGCCTTAGGATCTTTCGAGTTAGCTTTACTTGCTAAGCAATTCTGGAGAATTCTTGCTTATCCTAATTCTCTTGTTGCAAAGGTTCTCAAGGAAAATATTTCTTGAGAACTGATATTTAGAGTTCCAAGGTGCCTCCTAACGCGAGTTACACATGGAGATCGATTATGTCTACAAAAAAGTTGGTTCAATGGGGTTCCATAAGGTATTGAGGAAGTGGGAAACAAATTAGTTTCTGGTGGGATTCTTGGATTAATAATCTTCCCGATGGGAAGCTTTTTTATGATCCACCTAATGATGCACCCTCAAAGACCTGCCTCTTCCACTGGTTAGATCATGAGGAGGGCAAATAGAACATCGATGCTCTTAACACTCACTGACTGAACTAGAAGTTTATGTTATATACAAGTTAAAAGTCTCTGAGAGTGAACAAGAGGACCTGCTAGCTTGGTAGTATACAAAAAATGGGAAATTTTTTGTTAAGAGTGCGTACCACTATGAACTTCAAAGAAGAAACACTGATCTTGAACTCCCAAACTTAGATGGGATGAAAATTTTTTGGAGGAAAATCTAGAAAGCAAATGTGCCACTAAAAATTAAAAACTTGGTGTTGAGAGCAGCTCGAAACGACATCCCAACTAGGGACATTTTAAAAAATCGTGATGTGAGGATAACTTGTGTCCTATATGTAGGGAGCATACTGAGACTATTAGTCATATAGCATTATTCTGTAAAGATACTAGGTTGCTTTGGCGCTTGTCTCCTCTCAGATTAAACATGTCGGAGGAGCACACAACTCTTCGAGACTGGTGTGAAAAGTTCATCAATACCTGTGGTGGTGAGCGCCCATGGGAGTTAGCAATGATGTTAATTGGAAAAATTGGATACAACATAACCTGTGGGTCTTTGAGAAAAAACAAGGAGACCCTATTAGATCCTGTGAACGTGGCATGAGTCTTTTGGGTGAATATGAAGTAGCACCGCAGCGTGAAACTCCATAGCAACAAGCTTTTTATGGTGCAACCTTGCAGCTATGGTCTCCCCCTCCTTTGGGTGTGAATAAACTAAACATGGATGCGTCCGTTAGGAACAAAAAGGTGGGTCTAGGTATGGTAGTGAGAGATTGATATGGAGATGTACTCATGGCTGTAGGAAGGTCTTTGAATAGATCTCTAGAGCCAAAGTATGCAGAAGCTATGGCAATCTTGTTTTGTCCCATGTATGCCTTTGATGCAGGGCTTCGCTCTCTGATAGTGGAGTCTGACTGTTCACACTTAATTGCTATGATCAAGGAAAAAGCTAAAGAAAATTCCCTTGCTCAAGTGGTAGTTAATGATATTTAAAGCTTAGTAGAATTTTAATTCTTTTAGTTTTATTTTTGCTAATAGAATTTGCAATAAAGTGGCACATGCTATGACCAAATCAGCCCTTTCTTTTGTCAAGGACTTGGTTTGGTTGGAAGATTACCCTTATGATGTAATTGGGCCTGTTTTAGCAGACAAAACATCAATATAATCTACTCCTGTTGTGGTTGTCAAAAAAAAGTAAGACTTAGGAAAACGAAGGTATTGTATAATTACAAACACGAACATCGACAGCAGTAAAAGTAAAGTGTTGCAATTAAAAGTGAATGAAGTAATTACACAGTTATTTTTTGTAGGAAATTTTGAATTTTGCTACCTCTGAAATACATACATTTCACTTTTACTACCTGAGAAAATTTTTATTTTATTTTACTACCACACAAATGCCACTTTGTTAAAAATTGCTACCACTTAACGGAATCCGTTAAGGGTTTTGTTATGTTTTTTCTTTTCTTTTTTTTTAATAATAATAATAAAAAAAGCCTCCCTTAAACCAACCCAGCCCCTCCCATAAGCAACCCTCTTCCCTCCCCCCTGCCGGATTCCGGTCGACGCCGGCAAACCCATCTCACACCCTTTCCCCCACAAAGCAGCCTAGCTAGCCCCTTCCCTTTTCCCCTTGCTGCCCTAACCCAAACCACCACACCAAAACCACTATTAATCCTAAAATTCGTTAGGGTGGTTTTAGTGTGGTGGTTTAAGGGTTAGGGGTAGCCGAAAAGGTGGTTTCAGCACGATTCGTGGGGGTTTGGAGGAAGATCGATTAAAGAAGAGTGGTGGTAGTGGTTGTGGTTGCGGCGATTGTGGTTTCGGTGTGGGGGCTAAGGTCGGGCAGCAAGTAGAGGAAAAGGGAGGGGCTGGGCTGCGTTAGTGGGGGAAAAGGGGTGGGATGGGTTCGCAGGCGCCGACTGATGGGTGTCATAAATGGCACCCATTTGATGAGCATTTAAGTCATTTTTACCTTCTTTTCATGGCTTTCATGCTTAATAAATGCTTAGTTTTATGCATTTGGTCTTGGTTTTACCTTTCCTCTCTTATTTTGTAGCTTTTATGCATTTTGTTGGTTTTTCAACTCTATTCTCCTTTATTTGGTCTATTTTCATGGTTGTAGGTATTGTACGAGGTTCGGGTCTTGATATCGGTGAATGACTAAGGAGGGAGATGCTTTTAGAGTAAGCTTACGGCAATTGGAAAGCTCAAGATGCAAGGAAGTGGATTCTCCAAGTTCTAGCTCTTGCGCTCTCAAGTCGTGCTCTCATGAAGATGGGGTGTTGAACCCACAATCAAGTGCGTTTGGGACTTCCTCTCTTAGTGTTCATCATCTTCATAATCGTGCGACCTTAGAGAACGCACAAAGCAGTAAAAAGATCGAAGAAACCCATAAAGACGCGGACGCGCAAAGCACGGGCGCGGGCGAGCCACCCCTGCAGCGCGGGCGCGCCTTCCTTGGTATTTGCTTGCTCAGTTTTTGTTTTCGCACGCACTATAAATATCATTATAACCCGATTTTTGGGGGAAGTTTAGAAGCAAGTTTCATTTTAGATTTAGATCATAATTTTAGCTTAGTTGAGAGCTTCTCTCTCTAGTTTTAGTGTTAGTTTTAGGAGTAGATTTTAGAGAGAGAAAATGAGGAATTTCAGTGGTTATTTGAGAGGTTAAAGATTCAAGATAAAATTGTATTGAAGATCTCCATTATCAATCATTGAGGATTTCTCACTCTCTCTCCTCTTTTTTGCTTTATTTGATTCCATATTTGTTTGGTTTAATGTGTATGTTTGATTGTTGATTAGTATAATTGTTCTCTATATTTTGATGATTCTTGATTTCTTTAGTTGTTTGTGACTAGATGATGATGTTTGAGTAGTTGTTTGGCTAGGGATAGGGAGAAACTTGTATGATTGATTGATTGAGCTTAATTTGGGGATTGTGTTGATTAATTGTTGAGATTAAAGTGAGTAATGGAATTTGCATGTGTGTAATTTGATTAGGCCTTGAGAATTATGCTAGATTGCATTGTAGTTTCTAATGATATGGACCATTGATTTAGGAATTGCAATTGTCGATTGAGCTTGATTATTAATGCTCCTAGTTAGAGCCTCTCATAGTTGGCGCTAGTTTGACCTTTAGGAGATAGCTTGTTGACTCTTTTGATTGAGCTTGCCATTAGTCTTTACAACCATTGACTTGCATGCATTTCCGAGTTGCTACAATTGTCATGATTGCTTGTTGATCCCGTTCCTAGTGCTTTATTTATTTGGTTTCTTTATTTGGTAGTTGGTTAGTGTTCTCTCTTTATCCTTAAACTTTGACCTAGCTTAGGCGCATAATTGAGAGCGCTTGAACATTACCGTTCCTTTGGGTTTGACCCTTGACTTTCCTCTATAATTGTATATAGGTTTGTTAAGTGTTTACAAATTTAGTTTGACCGAGGGAAGATTAGTTTCAACGACCTAGTTCCACCCCTCGTCAAAATGGCGTCGTTGCCGGGGAACGGTGTCTATGTTTGAGTGTTTTTGATTTATTGAGTCTAGGTCTTTGTATATACTTTTCTTTTATTTTATTTTTGTTTGTTTTGTGAAAAAAAAAATGGCATGTTTTTCCTTTCCTCAATATGATGGCGAGTCTTTTAATATTTACTTCCATAGAATTGCGGAATTTTTGGACTATAATCATTGTAGTCTTTGGGAGGCTTGTGAGATTTGTTATTTTGGTTTAAATGTGCAAACTAGGAATGAAGTTGAAAGCATGCATAATGGTGAATTTAGAGCATTGTCAATTGATGATGCTTGGGATTTCTATGTTTGGTTTGCTAGGGATATCTATAATAGGGGTAATCATGATTCTAATGTTGATGTGCAATGTTTTAATTCTTCTAATGTTAGCATGATTCCCCATGATTTGTCACATGATCCCATAGTTAAACCTAGAA